ATAGACTCTTACAGTTGAGTTAGTTGCTCTGGGTAAGTACAGCCCGGTGAGAGTTCAATATATTTGGCTCTTGTGCTCCAGTTGTATTTATTGGTTGTAATGTCTTAGACTAAGTAGAGTCCTCACAATATACTTTCATAGTGCTGTGGTTGTCTTACTCTTTCTGAAGCAACGATAAATTGCAAATATTTTGTACAAAACAGTTATAGAACATAGAAGTACCTCTTGGCCCTGAGCATGGCAGATTAATGCATGAACTGTGTGATCACACAAGTAAATCCTTGTTCATAATTTAGAAGCAAGACAGTGCTCAGAATAGTTCTGTGATTACTGTAAAGAAAACCAGAATATCATTTCTTGGCTTAAGGAGATTTTTCAGCAGAATAGAAAGCAAAGTTCCTAGCTTCCTTCAAAGCTAGTGAAGAAACTGATATATATATATACACATATATATATATATTTTTTTTTTGCATTTGTACTGCCTTGGAAAATGTTTCCCCCCACTAAGCCTACAGAATAGTCTCCTGCTGTAACAGCTGTGTTAGGCAGGTGCAAAAAACTGTGTGATCCCTGAACCAGAGCAGCCCTTTTGAAAGGCATTTACCTGCTTTTCTGTGCTTTGATTTATCGTTTTAGTGAATGTGGATACAAAGCTCAGCTTTGTTAGCACAGCTGCATCCCACTGTGAGGGCAGTGTTGTCTGTGGCAGAATAGTGTTCTTATCCTGGGAAAGCACATCCTTTATAACTGCCTTTGTAGCCAAGGTAGGTTAACTTTTGAAGGAAGGATGTCTTGAGTTGTACTTGGATTTTCCTAACCTAGTGAGCAATGGAGTCTCTGGAGCAAAAGCTGTCAAGTTTGAGGTAGGAAAGATTGAGCGGAGTGGAGTCCTGCTGTTTATGAAAAGATAAGAGAGGAAAAAAACCCTCCAAATTCTATCAAAATGAAGCAAAAAAAAATAAGTACATTTACTTGAAAACGAAGTATGTGTTAAGCCATGAATAACTTTAAATAGATATTTTTAGTAGTAGTAAGGGAGTCACAGTAAAGTTATGATTAAAGTGGGTGGGAAAAGTTGTTTAATCATTATAATATATCTCTCTCCATCTCCAGTCAGCTAACACTGATGATTGCTCTCTACACACAGCACTGCAGAGAGGCTTGAGGGCTGTTATGTCATCACTGGTGACCTAAGTGTTCCTTTTTGGAAAAGTGTTGAATTAAGTGTATAAATTCCTTAAATCCTAACATTACTGCTACATTTTTTTTTTGAAAATATCCTTTTCACTAAACAGATTTTAATCCCCTCAGGATTTATAGGCAGCTGTTGTTTAAGACTAGTAAAAGCTGTAATAGACTTCTAAATATCACTGAAAGGTGAAGCAGCTATTTGCAATGTTATGGTCAGCACTGTAAATAACGAAAAAAGTAACAATTTTACCTAATTTCCCAGAAAAAGTTCAAGATTGTCTGTTGCACTGAGATCTCATTACTTAAAGCAGTTAATAATAATTGTCTGTTATGTGAACACGCCAGCGTATGTTGTAAGTAATGGAGAGCCAACCCCTCTCATCAAGAAGCATCTGGCTGATACTGAGTAGTCGAACGTGTTGATTCTCAGTCTGACCCCAGCCCTGCTGCAGATGGGAGCAGTAGGCTGAAAAGTTAGGAGCCAGAAATCCTTCATCTTTATGGTGAACAGGGGATGGTTTAGTTCCAGATTTCTGTTTTGGGTAGTTTTCTCTTATTCAGCCTGCAAACTTGGGGTAATGTGATATCCTGTAAGTTAGTATCCAAGATTTGGGTTACGGCTGGTTTATGGTTTCATCTTCCTCCTTCTTTTATTTCTTTGTTCTCTGAAGATTTTTTCCTGCAGAAAACGGAACGGTGAGCAAGCTGCTTACTAGCTGCTTAGCACACTTGGCTTTTAAGCAACCTGCTAGTGCATTGCTAGCAACAAAACCACCTTCCTCAAGTGCAGGCCAAGTGATGCTGCTTCCCCTCTGTGTGTAGTATGGAATACACTCGAGATCTTTACCTCTAGAGACATGAGACCCCTTTATGAGGATTTGTTTTTCTCAATTCTGCTTCTGGATTTAAGCATTTTAACAAGAAAACACCTGTGCTTTGTCCAGAGCATCTATAGATGAAGTGTTTTGGGACCAGAGGAAGTTAATAGCAGTGTGGGATGCTGTTTAGGTGAATGACTTGTGAAGTTCTCGAATCCCTACACAGGAGCAAACTGCCTAGAGCAGCATTTTGATTTGCACCTTTCTAAGTTAAGGACTAACTAGTAGAGGTGCAAAAGGAACCGTGCTGAAGGTGAGCCCTCCTCAGAAGAGCAGGGGTCTGGCTGCATTGCTTTGGTTGTGCTGTGAAAGGGAACTGATGCAGCTTGTGTTCGCCTTAATGCAAACCGCAAACATAAAATCAGCGGATTCAGGAAAGCATCTTCCAGCTTGTCACTAATTTAAACAACTTTATGTCACTTTTGAGCAGAATGAGAATCATTATGCTGTCATTTTGTGGCTATGTTAAAGCTTGACACTCTCATTTAGTCTTTGCAAAAAACAGTCAAATCCTTGACACCGTAAACCTACAAATGTGAGTTTCCAGATTTGTCATTTTTCTGCTATGATTTGTTTGTCCAGTACTTGGTTTTTATCCAAGTAGTACTGTTTATTATTATTATTATTATTATTTATTTAGACTTTGCCTTAAAGAAGATTTATTCCTCAAAGCTAGCATACAGAATTTCATATCAACGTAGGCTGTAAGGTGACATTTTGAAATAAATTCTTAAGTTCAAAATTCTAACCATTTGATACAAACTTTGACCCTTAAAATGCAAAATTGTTTTGGTGGTATATTTAATCACACTGAGAATGAATTATCTCTGATGTTTTCCTGCAGAAATATTAACCTTTCTTGTATGTGACTCTTTATAGAAATATTTTGCAGTAAGCAATATGTTTAACTTAGATCTTTCCCAAGAATATTTATCACACCTATTCTGTGAAGCAGTATTTCAATTGAAAACATTTCAAAGGAACATAAAAATGTTTCATTTTTATGTTACCTTGCTAGCAGTCATTCTGCTGAAAATACACAAAATAATACAAGATCTGAAAGCTGCTTTTTATGCTTCCCCAGGCAGATGATAAGTTCAAGACTTACCTGAAAGAGGCTATCAAAGGAGCAGTGTCCTGCAGTGATTTCAATAGTATCAAGGTCTTCATAAGAGAAATAACTCTAAACTCAGACCACAGCAGCTTCTTTAATGTTCTTAGACCAGATATTTTGTTAAGAAAGTGTAACCAGAAAAAAGGGGCAAAGATCCAGACCAGCACCTTCCTGATGAATGGTCACAGACCTTTCAGCACTGAATATCTCTTGCTGTGTGCCTGGAGCCCACATATCCCTTGCTTTGAGTTGCTGTGGTGTAAAAGAGGGGGAATTTGGTACATGGGAAAGCTTCTCTCTGTTGTCTTCTGTGCAATGAAGCCCCAAACCTGTGGTATCAGTGCCGAGGAGCAGGATAGGACCAGCAAGTGCTCAGGTAAAGCAAGGAAGACACAACGTTCCTCGTGAAGTCTTCACCCATGGAGATACTCAAAATTCAGCTAGAACTCAACAAAAAGACTCTTCTCAAAGCAGGGTCGACAGAGCAAGCTGCTCCACACTCTGTACAATCAAACTTTGAATATCTCCAAGGATGGAGACTCCAGAACCTCTCTGGACAACCTGTTCTAGTGTCCAACCACCTATACAGTAAAAAGCTTTTTCTTATGTTTTAGTTTAATTTCCTATATATATTCTTCTTGTGCATCATATTGCTGCAGCCAGGAGAATATTTTGTAGAATGTTCTATATTCTATAATATACCAAATTATAGAGTATTAATCTCTGCTGGCATTTGAAAGGAGGATGTTTCAGTGGTGTTTCCCCCCTCTCCAGCAGGCTTCATAATTGGAGCTTGCTTAATGACTTAACACTTTTGAGTGCAGCAGCCCAGACTAGAGCCTGTTTCTTGATCTCCCATTGGATTTTATCACTTATGTAGCTACACTTAGATTTCTGAGGCTGCAGCATTTTGAAATGTTCGTGTTTGCTGAGCGCGTAAGGCTGTTTGGGAGACTGAGCACCCTAATGCAGTCACACAGGTTTGCAGAATTTCACTTTCCAGCTTAACTCTGGAGTAGCCAAAGTGCAAGAAACATCCCAGTATAATGGGGTTTAGGAAAAGCAGGAAAACAATATTCCAGGATAATGCTTGAACAGCTTCTTAGTCACATAACTGACTTGCTTTGCAGAGCCTTTGACTTCTCTTAAGGCATTTCTCCTATAATTGCACTGCTTTGGTGTGTGGGGATTGCTTTGCAATAGCCTGGTATTCTTAATTCTGTATTAAAAGGAGTAAAATAATACAAGTCTAGCAAAACTTCTGAACCTGCCTTACTTTTAAGGCAAGTTGCTCCTGCTCGTGAAGGAGCTGCTGGTGCATTTCCCTGTGGACACACAGACCAGGGCTCCCAGTAGGGTATTAAGTCTAGTCTAACTTGTTAGATGCACACAGCCTGTGGGGAAAATGATAGACCTGTACTTAGAGTTATGTTTTTTTAATATTTTTATTTTAATTTAAATGTTTTTGGTATATATTTAAGAAGGATTATTGTGTTCTACCCTATACAAACTAGTATGTCTCTGCTTTTAAACACACCAGTGCAAAGGCACTAGTTAAGACTGGTGATTACACTCTCACGTTTTTCTTTTACTAACACTTTCAGCTTTGCTGCATTTATCATGTCCTAACTGTTTATGAAAAGGGGAAAAGTTGAATTTGGCTAATGTGATCTCACACTTTTTGTTACAAAAGTCAGTTCTTAAATGCTGTATTTACTCAGTGAAATGTCAATTAACAAAAGAGCAATACTAATGAAAAAAATGACACCCCTTTAAAATATTTTACTTTGAAGCTCAGTGTTTTTACTTTTAGTTCTCTACCACCTCCCTCCCTTCTCCCTCCCTTCTCTGTTCAAATGGAGAGGAAATAAGGAGAATTCAGATGCCGCATGTCTTAAGCGAAAGCGCTCCCAAGGTACAGTAATTGTAGATTTCTTTCTTGTAGTACTCCTGGTTTAGGAAGCTTAAAATTCTAGTTTGCTCGTATCAGTTCAATGTGTTAGATTTACCTGCTTCAATTTCTTGAGCTGCGTTCATAGCATTTCCTTCAAAAGGGAGGAAAAAGCATCGTAAATCCTAGAAGAAAAGTAGAAGTGCTGTGAAGCATAGAGAAAAGTAGATGTGCTAATCCATGTTGTAATTGTTTGTGATTGTCATGAAAAGTTATGTTAGAGAAGGAATGTGGGTTTAATAAAGAGGTTTACACTGCATACTGTTTTCACGATCTTTAATTTCATATTGTATATAATTTTTACTGTAGCTTTTATATCAGTACTGGAATGGAATAAGACTCCAGGCATGTAATATATACAAAAAGGCTGCATGGACTACATGATCAAGGCTGCTGTGTGGTTGCAGGATTTTACAGCAATGTGCAAATTCATTCAAAAAGTGGGAGTAGGTCTTACAGGAGCCATCAATGATTGCAGAAGGCTCCAAAGTACTTAGCACTGATCTGTCTGTGTCACTGTTGGTGGCAGTAGATATTAAACTCTTATTGACTTCAGCGATCATGGAAGTGGACTTCTGAAAACTGCACCCTCGATTTAAAACATAAATGCAAATGGTAGGTGTAGAGGTTTTCTTATCTCATGTGTTCTCTTAGCTCCAGGGAATACTCTGAAGTATGAGAACTTATTTTGACATGCATAAATGTTTGCCTTTTGACTTTCTTTGATTACAACTTTAATAGGATCCAAAATGCAAACGCTTGCAGTCAGTTTTTAATGATAAACCTTTTCCTGCCAATTCACAAACACAGAGCTCATGTCTATTCAAGGCAAATAGGGGTAATTACAGTTTTTAACAGTAAGAAGAGCCATATATCTTTGCTTCATCTTTAGATAACTGTTTTTATTTCACATTTTCCATGCGCACAGAAAGTCATTTTGTATAATTTGCCCAAATCATTCCCATTTGTAGTTCTGAATGTGCTTGAATTGAAAGTCGGTGCTTATATAAATCATGACATTCATGAATTGAAAAATGAAGAAGTAAAATATAAAAATGACGAGAATTTGAAATAGCCCAATTTGATTAAGACCAATAGCCTTTCTAATGGCTTTGTGTTTAGCTTGTAAATAAAAAAAGTTTTAAAGCTACTACTGCCTGAAGTTTGCATCCTGGAACTTGAGTCATTTAGAAAACAACAGTGACCAAATTATGCTCTCAACTCTGTTTATGAAGTGCCAGATTTTTGTTCAGAAAGTAATACTGAATGACTGCAAAATAGATTTAGTAAAAAATACTTGATTGGAGAAAGCAGGAAAGGATTTCAAACAGTCTGTGTCCCTTCTGTGGCCACTAGGCATGACTGCAGTGGTGGTTCCTTCCTGGAAGTGATGGAGGTAGCATCAGCTCTCGCACTTCAAAGATTGCCTCTTTTAGAGTGAGTTTGACTTGAGTGTGGTCAGAAACTCTGGTAGAATCGCCCCATGTTTTGGCCTTGGCAAGGAGATTGTTGAGTAAAAAACAATCCTTACCTAAAAGGTATTTAATTTTAGACCCCTGGCCCAGTGAAATGTCACGTTTGAGCACCCGTCCAGCTGCAGCCTCGGCTGGGAGCGCTCAGCTCGTCACACGTGTCCGCCCGGGGACATCCCCTCTCCGTGCAATCCACGCGGGGAGCATATGGACAGCACAAGCTTCCTGCCCCTCGGCTGTTATCCAATTATTCTGACTCAAGAGGAATCTGATCCAGGCTTTAGAAATATATATTTCATATTCTCTTTTTTTCCCCTTTTCCCCGTATTTAAACTTTTTGGAGGGATTTTTTCTCTCTGCTCCTCTGTCTTGATGAAGCAAAATAGTGATGATAACCAATGACTTCTTTTCCAGCTGACAATAGTCCTTTCTTGATCCCTTTCTTGTCACCTGTGCTTCTCTCTCAGTTTTGCACTGCTGCTCTGTGCTGTTCAGCATTGGGCTATCTTCCATGTGCAGTGGGGCTTTGCCTTCCACATATCAGTGCTCTGGGTGTCCATCTTGTGTTCCTAAAAAACGCTTCGTCTGTAGCTCCTGGGCTACAAAAGAAACCCAAACTTGGTCTCACTTCTGTGGGCTTGGCCTGCAATCCCAAACTAGAAAGCTCAGCAATGTGCAAGAGTGTGTAAGAACTTCAGTGACTGGGGAGAGGGAACCTAAGGAAATTCCTCCTGAGAAGCAAAGATGATGTCGGCGTCAGAGAAACTCCCGTGAAAACAATGTTCCAAGAAGTCTGCTCAGGACAGAGGTTCCTGTCCCATGATCTTGCAGGAGACCCTTCACCTCTTCCTAATCTATTCTGAGATGTGCATCCACAGTTGGATCTCAGTGGAGCTCAGAGTCGTTGCAGTCTGGTGTCCTGCTGTGAATCCTCAACTTAGAAGGTGCATTTCGGAAGGACCCAGAAGGCAGAAGAGCAAGCATGAAGAGGAGGATATCCCTGTTGTCGTGTTCACTGCCTAATCTGGATTCTGCAGTCCTGTGCTTCGACAGCCAAGCAACAGCATGCGTTAGTGACTTCTTGACACCCAGGGACATCTCTTGGTAAGAACTTGTCAGTTTGACCATCTTTGTGACTTGAAAGAGTCGCTTTTTTAAGAGGGGTATATCGCATTATCTCATATTTAAGGAAATAACTAATTTGCAAGTCCTTGTTCAGGACAATGATTGTAGTCCTTATCATTGCCTACCTGGAGTGCCTGGTTTGTACCTTCAGATTTTTAAGATTATTACTTTCATATTGCTATCAGACCTTCTCAGAAGATGTATTTCTTCCTTCCTGGGAGCACCAAGACTACGAAGTCCTTTTGCTTGACCCCTTGAGGGACTTGTGAATCTATTCAAAGCCCTTCAATGAGTGCTGGCCCTCATGAAGAACCACCTTGCAGTTTGTTACCTAGACGATTAGCAAATAGTAGCTCCTCTGCGCAATGACGAAGAGCCTCTGTCCCTGCCCAGCTGTGCATGCACCACTGCTTGTGGATCCTCCATCCTCATGATGGGTCTCTGCTGGCAGCACTTCTCTCACTGCGTTTCTTCCATGCAGTCCCATTTTGTTCTCTCTAGACCCTGTCATCACTGACAGAGATGCTTGCACAAGAGTAGAGAGAGCACAGCAATAATCAAGCAAAATAATCAATCAAATCTTCCTATTTTGAAGAGCAGATCTTGCACAGCAAGAGGGATTGGAGCTGAAGGTGTTCACAAGAAGTAAATATTTCTGTATCAGAGGAGAGGAAGAGAATTCCCGTTCTATTCATGAACGTCGCATTTAGGGTGACATCCTAATAGTTACGTGAGTCAAAAAAGGGGAGACAAAAATCTCATCCCATCTAAATAAGGGGTGTGTGGAACAGGTACATTGACCCTGAGGCTCCCTTAGTGAACACTGCATCCTCTCTCTAAACAGGGTGCAGCAGCTGGCTCAGCTTATTCTGGCCCAGGTAACTTCTATGATTTTTATTTATTTATTTTAAGGACTGGACCTATTTCTGATCAGAGAGGCACAACCTTGGAAGTGCCATCCAAACTTTTGTGTCTGCACTGGTACATGATGCTTTGGAAATGGTCCCTAGTCAGTGTTTTTCAGTGACTTCTTCTCTATACTGTTGAATTCTATTTTTCTTTTGGGCATAGAATTGTGTGTGTGAAGAGGCACTCAAGAGAAAAGCAAACAGTAGAAGTATCGGTAAACAAAATTTACTAAGAAGCAGAAAGTGTAAATGTGCTAATTGTAAATATAAAATGTAAAAGTTTATTGGTAGATCAGATTCCCTGAGAACTGTTGTCCGTATGCATGTTTTGCATCATACCCTTTCCTGAAAGGTCCAGATACCTTCTGGTTGAAGGGAAACTGAGAGATAAAAAGAGCCCAAACATCAACTTAAATATTTTGGGAACCAGATGGAAAGAAAGGGAGTCTGTATAGTGCAAGTGCCTCTTAAAATGATAAAATCTGAGCTTGAGTACACTGTGTACATTGAGTATGCTGTGTAAATGGAGAGGAAAGCGACTGTTCTCAAGAGGCAGGCAGAAAAAGTATTCACAGGGAACAGGGATTTGTTCCTCACAAGTGAGAATAATCAGTGCAAGGCAGGGAAAATCTGTGATCTGTCTGTGTATTCTTTGTGATAGAGAGGCTGGGCTTTATTCCAGGAAAACATTTGAGGATCACTGTTCCCCAAATCGCTGTTCTTCCAACAGTTGTAACAACTCCATCGTGGGCCCCTGTCTACCCCTTCTTCTGCATCCTTTGGCCATGGAGAACGTTGGGATGGTCTTGAAAGTGCCCTGCTTCCATTCCTCCTTCAGCGTCACCGGGAACACGCTCCAAGAGATGTTTTCCAGAATGTAGATGGAATAGGTCCCTGCTGGCAAGGTGCTGCTAAATGACGAGTGAAGACTACAGGGGCCCTGGATTTGGGGACAGTGGAAATTCCGCAGGAGTGCAAGGTGGTCACACGTCGCTGCCGCTAGACTACTTGCCTTTTGCAGGATGTCACTGTTGCGATGACTTCGGAGCCAGGTCTAAGGGAGAAGGTTTTGCTAGGAGTTTCCTTCCCTCCAGTTCTGAATTTAGATTTCTGATCCTCGCCCCTCCTCTGCTCCTACAGAGGAGTTCAGGAAACGATCTGTTTGCTCGTTCAGTGAGATCTCACTAGATTGCTGCTTGGTTTTGCCAGTCATTAGCCTAAGGTAACATCTGCTCTTCAAAGTCACACTTGCCTTCCTTTCCTCTTCTTTATCTTTATACTAGCAGTGTAAAAGAGCAGTGTAGTTCTGGTTACTTCTTGTGACTCAGTTGTTTACCATAAAAGCAGGGCACTCCTAATACCCAGGTTTCTTAGGGACTTGATTTCAGTTTTCATCGAGCTGTTAGGGCTGCGAACCTTGGCAAAAAACAACCACCAAAAAGTACTGCAGGAGAAAGGTCTCAAGATTTACCTTAGTGTGGCTCTTCTGTACTGTAGCAGAGTGAAAATCAGAAACCATGATGGCTCAGGCCTTGCCAGAAAGTCTTTAAAGGAACAGAAAAATTCATATGAGTGGCCTCAAAAAGGAGATGACATAGTTTCCTTTTTCTATTTATTTATTTAAAAAAAAATAAAGGGGGCTGCAAGCCCTTTCTGTGACTGCAGGCTTATTACCATGACCTGCTGGCCATATTGCAACTGCTGCTAATTTACAGCTCTTCTAAATGTTGCATCTCCTGTTAGATGAGGCTAAAGCAGCAGCAGATTTCCAAACCTAGGTGAAATACAAATTACTAGTGAGTGTAGCTACAATACTGTGGTGCTCATGCAAGCCCGAAGCTTGGATGAGAGATTGTGATTTGTGTCATAACGTGCCTGTTGTGCTTAATCCTGGCGATCCTCGATCCCGTCGAGGGATGCATCGTGAGTTTGGTCCCAGAGTTCAGGCATTCCAAATCTGGAAAACACACTAAGTGCACAAAGGCACTAGAGCTCTTAGTGGCTTTTGAAAGGCCTAAATTCTGTTCTGTGCCAGAAAACACTCATTCAGAGGCTTGTTCACTGAACTGCATTCAGCTCCTGGACGTTTCCGAAAGGATAAAAGGTGCAATGGAGCCTTCTAGTAATGGAGCTTTGAAAGCAGCTATTTGTGGAACTGCAGAGTACTGTAGCCACAGTTAAAGCTGGGATCTTGCTGTACAGATAGACAGAGGAGGAAGAAAATAGGAATGCAGTTGCTCTTTGCTAGCAAGTGACACACATGTGACAGCCACCTGGTCATCACAGCAGCCTGCAGTCTTTTGGGATTCATTCCCCTGCCACCCTGTATTTTGTTTTCACCTAAGAGCGTATTTTGGAAGGTCACTATCCCCAAAAAAGGGATGAGGGTGGGAGGAGAATGATGTGAAATGTCCTCAGGGGTGGCCTCCAAACTGCTACATGTTCTGATTAATCCTAAATTTGAAATCTCTTCAAGGTAAGAAGTAATACAGATGTAGATATAATAGAGCTCTAGATTTACTCTGTGTGTGAATTTCCATTTTCTCTGTCTGAAGAGGCTTTTTTCCCTCTTACCCATCTAAATTAAATGTTGTTCCTTTTTGCTGCAGCTATTCATAGTCTAAAGTTGAGCCGCAACCATGTGGACTGGCACAGTGTGGATGAAGTGTATCTTTACAGTGATGCAACAACATCTAAAATTGCAAGAACTGTTACACAAAAGTTGGGGTTTTCCAAAGGTAATGTTTCTCAGAGTTTGTAAACCATATTGTAAATACCATTATTTTAACATTTTTTTGCTTTAACACCAGGAAGAGAAGCTTAACTTCTGATATGTGCTTAGCCCATTTTTGTCATCGCAGTGTCGCAGAAGGTTATATTAGGTGCTTTACATTGCTGTGAGGTGCTTACAACTAGACATGAATAACTATGATGTATTTTCATTACTTGTTTTATCATTATTTTGGATGCAATAGCTAGTATTACATAATAAGTATTAAAATACTAGGGTTGCAAAATCTAGCAGCTATAATATAAAAAATTATGGTTCCCTTTGCAAGCGTAACTTTACCCCTGTGTACTTGCATATTGTGCTGCATTCCTTAAATGCATGATCATACCTTCCCCTCTCTCCAGCTCCTGCTTTTAACTGTTCATATAAAAGCCCAGTGCACTAGGGGGAGGGAAGCAGTTTTTAATAGAAATCCTTCTCATTTAATCTCAAAACTACCAACTCTAAAGTCAGTGAAGCTAAGACAGTTGGAGAGAATGATATCTCATGGGGAAGGCAGACTGATGCCAAGCTAGAAATTTGGAACTTGTCCTCTCTGCTGGACGTCTGTATTAACAAGAAGTCATGCAAGTTCCTTCTGTTGTCTGAATAGACAAGATGCAGGTAATAGGTTTGGCTCTCATTTCCACGCCTCTGTAATTAATGCCCTCTTACCCCTTGCAGCTGATGGGCAGATAATTAATATTTGCCAAGAATTAATATAGCTCAATGCTATTGCACAAAATTCTGGGAGAAATGAAGTACTCTATCCTAAACAGGATTTGTACAGTGTGCAGTGATTAATGTGCAAGATCCGTTTTAAAAAATCTGGAGGGAGATACCTCAAATAGCAGCTCACTTGACAAGCTAAGCCTATCGTTTATAAAAACTGCCATGTGATCATGTAGTTCCAGGCATCATCCCAGTGGGAGAAGTTGTAAAAGTGACCTTAATTCTGCAGTACAATGCCTGAGCTGACCACGGCAGGAGTCAGTGTTGTAAAAGTGACCTTAATTCTGCAGTTTTGAAGTGTTCTTTTCCGCAGCTCATATGCTGTTTGCATTTTTACTGTATTTTCCTACTCCTTTAAAACAACAAATTGGTTGATTTAGTTTTGATCATGGGGAAAGATGCTGTCTTGCTCTACGTGGCCATCTGAGGGGGTTGCTGGGTTTCTGCTTTCCCCATTGGCACAGCGAGCACTTGCACAAGGCTGTGACCTTCCTGTGGGTCTGTCACTAGAGGGGGATGGAGACACACTTTGCCAGTGGCTTTTATAAGCCAGCTGCAGCAGGGAGAGCTAGTAGCTGCTATTTGCCTTGAGGAACTCATTTTTGGGTTAGCTGCTGAGCTGGAGAATGAGTGGGGAAACTTGGGGCTGGATCTACATGAAAAAAACCTAAATGTTTCTTGTAAAAGTGAAAAACTGTAGAGCTTTTCAACCAGCTGTCTTAGCGGGCTCCGAGAGAGAATGCCAAGCTTAGCAATCTTGAGAAAACCATTTCAATAATCACTTCATGCTCTGGGAGAAAGGTAGAGAGGTAAGGATGTTTGGAGGCACACAGAAGGCTACCTAGCTGTGCTATATAAGCAGATGGACAATCAGCTGTTTTCTTAAAAGTGTGGTTTTGCTTTGTTTTCTTTTCCTCAAAACAACTGTGAAATTAGTTGTTCACAGCAGAAATGGCCTATCAATAAATTGGCCAATACAATTAATATCACCCATTTGCTCAAATCTTTCAGGACTTTAAAACTGCAGACGTTGAAAAGTACGTGCTATTTATGTGTAATCTTATTTTCATAATACTTTAATGCACTGATCTGAGACAAATCAGCATATACAGAGCATCACACCTCGTTGAATGTAACTGACCTAGAATAATGTTCTTCCTGCAGCGTCGAGTAGTGGGACAAGGCTACATAGAGGCTATGTAGAAGAAGCCACGTTAGAAGACAAGCCACCACAGACTAGTCACATTGTGTTTGTTGTGCATGGTATTGGGCAGAAAATGGACCAAGGAAGGATCATCAAGAATACAGCTATGTGAGTGCCTCATAATATTTGCAGTCGCAATTCTAGCCTGAATATCAGGCTGCTGTTATCAGTGACCACAGACCCTTCGGTTTTAACTCTTTCTCTCCCCACCTCAAAATTGTTAGACTTCTTATTGTGGGTGCACTACTTTCTGTGTTGATTTGAGTATATAGACCTAGAGAGGGCAGTTGCAAGCCAGAAGAGCAAAGATATATTCTGTTTTCATGGCCAGAACTTCTGACTTCTAGGGAAGGAGTCAATGAATTTATAGCACATTTGGTTAGTGACTTTACTGAATGGGGATAGATCTGTATTTAGCCCAAATCCAGATGTATCTCCACTCTTCCTGCTGGATATCAGAAGAGTGGACAAGTGAAGTATGTCATCATGAGGGAGCGAAAATTAGCTAGGTGAATATTTGCAGTCTTAGTGCAGAGTTACTTTATGCAGTTACAATAGTTGCAAACTATTGCTGC